ATCTCCTCAGAAACTCACATTCAAGACAAGTGACTTACTTTGTTAATGTTTAAGTCTAGTTAGGATACAAGTCATACACTTTAAACATAAGGTTATTTTTAGTTTTTTAGTGAATGTTTAGTTAGGAGGTCGTTCATTAGAATATAAATTCACTTTGAAGGAGTTTTAAGTATAAATTGAAAATAAGAGCTAATTCCTCTAAAATGACCCCATTTTTTAAAGTGATTTATCCTAAATTTTAGTAACTATATTCAAATTTTAATGGATACAAATATAGATATGTACACGGATAACGATATCTTGTTTGGCACCCTCGGTTGTCAGAGAGAGAGGGGGAGAGGAACACGTTAACGACTTATTTACTGCTTCGGGACCCACTGCGGTGAGCATCCGCCATTATAAACGATTCTAGATTGTCTAACGTAGCGTCTTATCTGGAGACGTGATGGGCCCCCATGGAGGAGACTTTTGGGTCGTATTGCTTGTAGAAGATGAATCTCATAACTGCGTAGTTGAGAACGTCATGTTGGCCTGGCCCACATAAATATCCCGAGGCATCATTTTTCTTAGTGTTATTTCCAGCTACGGTCGCTAGCTAATTAACCACTGCGGTGAGCATCCGCCATTATAAACGATTCTAGATTGTCTAACGTAGCGTCTTATCTGGAGACGTGATGGGCCCCCATGGAGGAGACTTTTGGGTCGTATTGCTTGTAGAAGATGAATCTCATAACTGCGTAGTTGAGAACGTCATGTTGGCCTGGCCCACATAAATATCCCGAGGCATCATTTTTCTTAGTGTTATTTCCAGCTACGGTCGCTAGCTAATTAATAATTTTCTCTTTCTTAAAGAAATTTCAATCTTAGCAAGTAGCAACATATGAATAAGTGAGTAAGGACAAATTCGTTTTACGCTCAAAGTGTGGAGTTATTTCTATATTACACCCAATGGTCAATATTCTAATTAATTATCCATTTATCCGCTACAAAAATTTCCTTCAAATCATATTTTTTGGTTTGAACTTGGTCTTGAATGTTAAGAGAGGGTCATCTTACATCCTAGGTAGTTTATATATATAGGATGATACTTCGTGTTCAAATACTTCAATCTTTATGATGATACTCTTTTGTCTTTCTTTTTTCCCCCCTTCTTTTTCTTGAAGAAGTTAACAACGGAATATGATATATATTTATTGAAAATACTAAAATCATTATTCTTCTTCTTTTTGAGGGAAACTATGGCCGACTATCCCCGTGTTCCATCAATAAGAGCATAAACAAAGCACCTTAAAAAGATTACTAAAATCATTCTTCCTTGTGATTTTTTGGGTGCTGCTACAGGGACCCCAAATAGAGGACCTAAGGTGGGGACATGTGAGGTATCCCCCCTGGTTGCGTGATGCACTGTTCATGAACAGTGCATCACGCAACCAGGGGGGATACCTCACCTGTCTCCACATTCGGTCCCCTATTTAGGGTACCTGAGGCATTAATCCTGATTCTTTGAGTTTGATTAATTTTTGTTCAACTATTTCTGCAGATATGTCTCCGATCACTTATTACCATTTAAGTAGTTAAGACCAGTATTTTTCTTCAAATAATTCCAGAATCAAAACAAAGACGTCAATCGTGCAAGTAACAATTCTTCGTGTGGAAATTATAAATAATTAAAATGAGGGAAAATAAGTCAAATAGATCCCTTCCCTCTGACGTAAGAGATAAATAACTGAGAGTAAAAGGCTTCGGCCCACAATAAGAAAGCACCAGACGATTGGGCCTATTCATAGAATGTAGGGTGAGCCTGAAAAGAGTTTTCGCGATTCAGACGCCCCCCAACCCATATAAATCGAATTTATCCAAAAAAAAACCCAACACACACAACAGGGCACACGTGCTGACACTGTGACACACAACCTTTTCGTGTTTTTATATCTTTTGCAAATAATTTTTGGTGACACACAATTAAGCTTTTCATGTTTTTCATATAGTTTGCAAATAATTTCCGGTCAATTAGAGCTGAAATTCTACCTTAACAATTAATTATATGTTCCTGTAGTCTCCTAGAAAATTTTAAAACATTTTCTAGGGTAAATCTCATAAAACCCCCAGAACTTTTGGGTGTCCAACAAAACCCCATGAACTTTGTTTCTTGCGCAATACTTTCAAAACTTCCTCTATAAACCCCCAATACTCCAAAGGGTCTCCTAAACTTCTACATTCCCCCCCAGTCTCCCAAAAGTAAAGAGGAGGTGAGGAAATGAGACCTAGAGAAAACAAGACAAGAACAAAACCGGGTACATATATAATAAGGTCAGCATGGTGTTCTTGAGGGGAATTCGACTGTTTTGAGGGGTTATTTGAGACAGTCTGGAAAACTTTGGTGCTCGCCTGAAAATTTCCCGGGTCCAGTCAGAAAACAAAGCGGTCCCAAGGTTTTGGGTGGTTTTGCAAAACTTCACCGACAGCGCAACAAACGTAGTACGAAATCATGGATCCCAAACGGATCCAGACTCCCACAAACCTTAGAGCCGTACGCGCATTCTGCCATCCATCTAACCTTGGGATCCGCTCCCCAACTCTGCTGCAATCCCACACCGAAACCCATCAATCAAAACCCGACACGTGTACTCCTCCTCCTGAAGTCAGCGAAGATTCCCCGTCTCTCATTACAAAGGGGGAGAAAGAAAGAAAGAAAGAGAAACAGGAGAAACAAACAAGAGAGAAATTTATAAGCAAATTAATGGGAAACGCTCTCCTCAGATTTTTGTGTGGAAATTGTTCGTCAGACCACTCCCAGGCAGCTTACGGTCATCATGGGGTCACGTCGGCCACCGTCGGCGTCTCGGCGCTCGCTCAAGATCTCCTCACTTTCGACGCCACGGCTCAGGTATACACATGATCCTTGTCTGCAAATTTAGTTAGGCCCAGATCGATCGTTTAATAAAAATCATCACATTAATATCCAGGTACCGGAAGGACTGAGTCAGCACGTTGTATCCTCGAAAAAGGCTCAGGCTAATTGGTACGCTCAAATTTTAATTAGCCGCCGCAACTTTTTTTTTTATTTTTTTTGCGGGGTGTTAAAATTTTAAAAATTAGGTATAAGAAATTATTGGGGGCGTGGAGAGAAGCAAACCCGCCGCCAAGAACAGCCGAAGAAGCTACGGCGCTCGTCGTCCATACATTAAAGAGGCATCACAAGGCAGACGTAGAGGTAGGTACACAGCACGATAAATTTGATTTCATTAACTATGAAGGACCCAAATCGGTTATACTCACCAAGAGAATTTTGCCGCATTCCTCAATAAATAAATAAAGGGTCTGTTGGCTTTCTACGGACTGCCTCGTCCTCACACCGCTGAAGTACAAATCCAAGGGACCGCGCCGTCTAAGCCTCAAGGGGTCAAGTATGAGTTGCATACCCTCCCTGTGAGACACAAACCCCCCTTTTTAACTAGTAAATTTTTTTTTTGTTGTTGTTGTGTTTATCGATGGTTTGTTGTGTTACAGGTCGATCTAAAGGCGATCGCAGATGGAGATACGATCACCGTGTACGTCGACACCGCGGAGCCTAGAGAGTCTTCGGCTTACAGGTTGCGCGTCTTAACTCTGACCATCACGTGATTTCCGTGGGGATGTATGCGCTAATTCTGATTTTCAGGATGCTTGATTTTTTGATGCAGGGTTATAAATGGTCCAAATGGGGAGGGGACGCTTGCTAGAAAATATAGGATAAGATTGAGGTATTGCGACTAAAAGCTAAATAGTTGTGATTTTGCTTTGCATCGCAGCTTTTGTTGCTGCTCTCTAACTTCAGGAAGTAAACAGGGGCATCGACGCACCTGAGAGTGCAATGCCGTACGGAAAAGAGGCTAAGGAGGAGCTAGTGAGGCTCGTTCAAGGGAAAAGGCTCGTGGTTTACGTTTACGGTGATGACCGTTATGGTCGGTGCGTTGGAGATGTCCATTGCGATGGTACTTTTGTTCAGGTGAGAAGTTGCAGAGATTTGGCTAAGCGTTTAAAAACTACGGATGCAAAAAAGATGAAAAGATAGTGAATATATATGTAACCATATTCGATAAGATATGTTATGGTTATTAAATATCCATGTCACAATGGTATATCGTTTGAAGTCTTTGTCGAAGTAGAAAAATATGGAGGTAGACATACATAAAATATCTAGATCTGGATCCGAATGTCTGAAAGCATGTTGACAGGACGGACCACCTTAAATTTTAGTGGATTTCAAATAGATTTCATGACTCAGACCTAATAAATTCATTGCTAAGTGCACGGCGAACTTACTTAGGACCCCTGATAACATATGACATGTATACTTTCGAGTTTCCACAAGTCCTCTAATATTTATATTTTATTTCGGGCGGATATAGATAATTGGTAGGCATGCACTTAGGTTAACAAAACATTTCTGAAGCATATGCACCCCTCGTTGAAACTGTCGGGATTTGCTGATTCTTGATTGTTTTCACAACAGGAGAAGATGTTGAAGAAAGGGTTTGCTTGGCATTACTCAACTTATGACCAGAGGCCTGAGTTCTCGCAATGGGAGAATCAAGCTCGTGCTGCTCGACTGGGCCTTTGGGCTTCGTCGAACCCTGAGAAGCCCTGGGAATGGAGGAAAGATCGCCGCAATGGAGCTTAAGAAGCTGAGATCCTGTAGAATACTCACATGAAGCCCCGCTTTAAAAAAAAACCAGGGACTTCGGCCAAAGATGTTGCCGACCTGGGAGAGAGTGTTGTATTTAAATCGTTGTAATGAAACCACTTAACCAGTATTTATCAAAAACTCAGATGAACTTCTATCAACGCTTTAATAATGTAGCCACCTGAGCAACGTTTGTACCACATACTTCTATTCAAAATGGAAGCTACATGGGTTTCTTAGCATAAAGAACATAGAAGCATTGAAATGACATAAACCAATCTGTATATTTCTTATACTTGGAAATTAGAGCAGCATTTTCCATTACAGCTTTGAAAACAAGAACAAAAGCTTTATTCCGAATTCTTGGGTTTGGCTCTCTGTATTAAACTTTGACAGTTCCAAAGATAAATTTGTCACTCAGCAAAATCTGGACAAGCCATATACAGTTCCAGCGACAAAACACAAATGACGATATTCAAGTGGCAATTCAGTGTACAAGAAGATACATATGCTGGATCTGATGAACGAAAAAGAGAAAAAAAGGAAAGATGATGCTGCAATTTTACATCAACAAGAGGATTTCATTGACATGCCACCAATCCAAGCAGGGCCTATAAAAAAACAACCAAGTCAGCGATTTCAATGTAAACTACAAAAATAATTTACATGTCTAAACAAAATCATTACTAATAACACCGGGCGACTATAATAACAGTAACAGGGACGTTCGCACATGACTACCAGTAAAAATAGTTTTGTAAGCATGCAAAAAGATGATTTTTTTGGGAATCCAAAGACTAACGTTCTTAACTAATAGCAAGAATCACAGAGGGAAGACAACTTCTAAAGCTTGAAGTTAGGAGTTCGGAGAAAGGATAAAAGTATCACAGGATGAAGAAACACGAATAAGTAGCAAGCATCACAAGATCACCAGGAAAAGGATAAAGACATGACTAAACTAATAGCAAGAATCAGAGAGGGAAGACAGAAACTTCTAAAGCTTGAAGTTAGGAGTTTGGAGTAAGGATAAAAGCATCACAGGATGAAGAAACACGAAAAAGTAGCAAGCATCACAAGATCAACAGGAAAAGGATAAAGACATAACTAATAGCAAGGATAACAGAGGGAAGACAACAACTTCTAAAGCTTGAAGTTAGGAATTTGGAGAAAGGATAAAAGCATCACAGGATGAAGAAACACGAATAAACAAGATCACCAGGAAAAGGATAAAAACATGACTTCTAAAGCTTGAAGTTTGGAGTTTGGTCTCCCATAATGTGCAAAATATAGATAGGTAACAACTAGAGTAGATACTCATTATCAGGATGAGGACAAAGTTGCACTCAGCTCAGCAGATATCCATCCATGATGGTGTTAGTATTACAAATAGTGAACTGAATTATGTCTAGTTAAAATTGTAAGGTATTTGCATAACAAGATCAACAAGGCAACCATTTTCTTCTTTGCTCAGAGAAAGTTGAGAGAATGCTGACGGTTTTGATCCTCTTCATGATTCCAATACCAGAGGGATTTTTTAACTTGGGAGAATGCTGATGCCACTTCCCCGCCTCACTCCATTCATTTGCTCCAACAAGAAGTTTGAAGTAAAATTATGATATTGATAGACAGGATATTAATTGATCATCCATAATCAAAATGTGAGAAAAATGATAAAGTGACAAATGAAATCAGAAATGTCACATGTTTCAAAAAATATAATATAATTAATAATAAATAAATACGTGAACAAATAAATAAATAAATAAATAATCAAGCACAGAGCAATTCATTAATATCTAGTGCATGATTTATCTATCCATAACCATAATAGAAGGGCTAGAATATAACGGAAAACCGAGAAGCAATGAGATATAAGAAATGATCAAACACAATCACAGTGCAACATAAAAATTGATGAAAATACTCATTTCCTCATTGTTGGGGCGGTAACTCTTAAGTAGAGTGCTCCTTTAACTTCACATTCTCTGATACTACTATGGTTTTTCCCCCTGGAAACCACCTTAAAATAGGGTCACTTAACAAAAACCACCTTTCATTTTCAATTTATACGTAAACTATCTTTAAAGTGGGTTTTTGTTCTAATCAACCATCTCCCAATCAAAGTTTTCACTTAAATCCAAAAATACCCTTAAAACTCACATTCAAGACACATGACTCACTTAGTTAATGTTTAGGTCTACTTAGGATACATGTGACATATTTTAAGCATGTATTTTTAATGTTATTTCTAGTTTTTAGTTAAGTTTTGGCTAGGAGGTGGTTGATTGAAACAAAAATCCACTTTGAAGGTGGTTTACATATAATTATAAACTGAAAATGGAAGTTGGTTTTTTGTGAAATGAACCTATTTTAAGGTGGTTTCCAGGAATTACTATTAAAAAACCTAACAATCTTATTTTCCAACAGAACGACTACAAAATTTTCTGTTGCCTTGACTAATAACCAATAGAAATTGATCAAATGAACACCAACAAGGTAACTAGTTAAATAAGCCGTTTCAGTACATACTTAACAACAGCTCACACAAATAAATAATTGAACTCATAAATTTGGTAGCAATGTATTAAAACATTTAATAGTACCAAAATGTTGCATATTATTCATCCACGTATAAGAGAAAGCATAATAGCCCAAACACACCCTACTGTCCTTTATACACTGCAGTGAAATGAATATCATACTGCTTGCAGTTACGATGCTAAATATATGTAAAAAGTAATATAACAGGAAAAAACATAGACCAAACTTACCCTATAGTTCTTTGTAAACTCCAGTAAAATTGAACCATCAATTCTTGTCATCCTTCACTTCATCAGAGTCTGAGTCGCTTGCATTATAGCCTGAAGAGAACAAGTAAATTAGCCACCAGTAATCAGAGGTACCTTGTTCTGTTCTATTTACTAGTAACAAATTTGTGATTCAACTAAGGAGGAGAGAGGGTGGATGGAGGCAGAAATCTAACCTGGACGCTTTTCACTGACTTTCCATGCTGAGGGTCTATATTTTGATGCTTTGCTAATCCAAGCCTTCGCCTGAATGTCAAAAATAAACTCCTTAGCTCAAAATAACCAAAAATTAATTGGAGGAAATTGCAGCCACTAAAGAGCAAAAGAAGAAACCATAGTAAAAGGAGGGGAAAAACCATAACAGATACGTCATAAAGACAATTTAAAGTGTTTTAATACCATATATATAAGAGATTCTTTTGATATAGATACTATTAGAGATACATCTCAATCAATCTCAGATTCACAAGAATCTCCCAAAATTTATGGCAATCAAATTATTAAGGAAAGATTGAACAACAAGAAAAAACCTAGTGATAATAGATTGGAGAGCAGGAAACAACCTATTGAGCAAAAAACAACATATTTATATACATTGCAATGAATCAATTACAAAATCTATATAAAGTAACTATCTTTTCTTGTTGTACAATCTAGTTTCTTACACTCCAATATTTCATCAATAGGTTGTTTCTTACTCTCCACTCTTTTCTCACTAGGCTGTTTCTTGTTGTCCAATCTTTCCTCAATAATTTGATTGTGATAATTTTTGGTAGATACTTATGAATCAAAGATTGACTGAAATGTATCTCTAATACGCCCCCTCAAGCTCAATGCCGGTTAGACAACATTAAACTTGCTACGCAACTCTATGGAATGTTTTCGAGGTAAGGCTTTGGTAAGTGCGTCAGCACGCTGATCACGGGTGGAAATATAGGAGACAACATGTTGCTTGGAAGCCACACACTCACGAACAAAATGAAAGTTAATCTCAGTGTGTTTTGTGAGATGAAACACTGGATTGGCAGCGAAATGACGCAATAAGTCTGACCTTTTGACATTTTGTTGCTTCAAAGACATATAGAACGTTACTTTAATAGAAAAATTCAAATGTTTCACTCGGATTGGGTGTGTTATCAGCCTCTTCATCGCCATCTTGATTTTGAAGGAATTCTTCATCGTGTCTCATGTCCATACACTCCGGAACAAAACGGAGCAATAGAAAGAAAACATCATCACATTGTTAAAACAATCCTTGCTCTTCTCACACATACGTCTGTACCATCACATTATTGGGATGAGGCGGCTCTAATAGTCATCTTCTTAATAAATCATCTTCCAACACTACCACTGAAAAATGATACCCCACTTCATAAATTATTCAATCTTACACCTGATTACACCTTTATAAGTGTCTTTGAAGGTGCATGCTATCTATGGTTGCATCCCTACTCTTAACATAAACTTGATTCATGTTCTGAACGCTTTGTGCTCAAAGTTACAGTACTAGTTACAACGGTTACTGTTGTCTACATGTGCCATTCGGACGTATGCATGTCTCTCGCTATGTTATTTTTGATGATTTGTTTTGCATTTGCAACTTCGGGGTTTGCACCTACAGCTATTCTCTAGTGCACCTCTTCCAGACATCGGGATACTTGTTCCTGAACCAAGCTTATCTACTGCACCTGGTGACAACGGTCTATCACCTGTGGGTCTCTTCCATTCAATCAGCTGCTGTACTAATAAGAACTACCTCACTAGCTTCCCCAATGTCCTCTACAACAAATTCTACATTCCCAAGTTCGTCGCTGTCGTTATCTCACATTCTTACTACACCTACTAGTGACAGCACTTCGGCAACCCCGGCTACACCTTCAGGCCCTAGTAACACGGCATCGGACTCAGCCTCGAATGCTACTTCTCCGGCCTCCTCTCCATTAATCCACGCTCGGTTACTGACTGATACCTATGCAATTGTTGAGTCAATACTTGAGCTCTCTCAATAGTGTACTAGCACTCACTGCTTGCCTACAACTCTTCTTGTGACAGTTCTCCATGAGCCCACATGCTTCAAACAAGCACCTAAGGATCCGACTTGGCGTGCTGTCATAGCACTCGAGTTTGATGCTTATCTATGCAATAGTACTTGGTCATTAGTTCCTTGACAGCCTCATCTGAACATAGTGGGTTGTAAATGGATTTTCAAGTCAAAGCATCGGGCAAATATTTCGACAGTCTAAGTACATCGCGAACATCCTTCATTATCCAAGATGACCAAAACACGTCCGCAACGATGACAACTACTACATTTGACGAAACTAATTCCTCCTCACCTCTTGCTTCTCTAACTCTATATCAAAGTATTATTGGTGCCCTACAATACGTAATGATCACTCAGCCATATATCTTCTTTTGCTATAAGTTGTGTGCCAGCATATGCACTCCAATAGAGCATCATTGGTTCTTTGTCAAACATGCATCCTACATTATCTTCAAGGACACCTATCCAAGGTCTACAATTGTATCGCGACTCACCGAGGAATCTTCATGCCTTTAGTGACACTGACCGGGCTACAAGTAGCCAAGATTGTTGCTCTACTAGTGGGTTTGCGATCTTTCACGCGCAGTCTCATCTCTTAAGAGTTTTATGAAGCAAGCCACTATTGCATGCTCTAGTAGTGAGGCAGAGTACGAGGTTGTTGCTAATGCTACCACAGAGCTTATTTGGCTTTAGGCTCTACTAAATGAACATCTCTACTAAAAGAAGTGGGTATTCCCTCAACAACAACGGTGTTATAGTGTGACAATATTAGCGTGACATATTTCACTGCCAATCAAGTGTTTCATGCTCGCACAGAACACATTAAGCTCGACTTTCATTTTGTTTGTAAGCGTGCGGCGTCCAAGCAACTTATTGTTTTCTATATTTTCAATATTTCCACTCGTTATTAGCGTGCTGACGCACTTTACCAAACCTTCACCTCAACAACGTTTCACAGAGTTGTGTGACAAGCGCAACATCATCCAACCAACATTGAGATAGAGGGAGCGTATAAGAGATACATCTCAATCAATTTTAGATTCACAAGAATCTCCTAAAGATTATGACAATCAAATTATTGAGAAAAGATCTAACAACAAGAAACAACCTAGTGACTAGTGAGGAAAAATTGGAGAGCAAAAAAACCTATTAATGAAAAATTAAAGAGCAAGAAACTATACTACAAAACAAGAAAATGTAGTTACCTTGTATAGATTTGTAATTGATTGTCATTGATTCATTTGAAATGTATATAAATATGTACTATATGTTTGGGAGAGTGTGACTGTGTGAGATTCACCAAATTATCTCTCTTCTCTACTATCCTATCTAACTTATTAGACACAACCGCAACAGCAACAAAGCTTTTGAAGTCAGTTACATGAATCCTACACTTTTGGAGTTGGCTACATGAATCCTAATCTTTTATTCATTTTTGTAACTCTCCATTAAGTTATATATTATGATATCATTCGTAACTGTTTCTAACTGTTTCTAACTAGAGTTATTTAGGTCTATCTATAGTCCTTAACCCATTAGCTAGAATCTTATCGCTTCTCCTAACAGTTGCTTCTAGCGGCCTACATTGTACTCAACCAAATCATCTGAATTGATTCATTTTATACGTGACAAAAGTTACCTCTATTCTCCTATGAATAAACCAATTACTTATCTTACTTTTAGTGTCTATCCACAAGATCATTGTAATATTCTCATTTCTACTACACTCATTTTTTACACATATTGTTTTTTTTTGTCTAACATTCTGATTCATAAAATATCACTAATTTTATAATAATTTTATAGAATTTTCCATGTGATCGCAGGTATTCTACAGTGACATAAAACTCCAGAAGCACTCCGCCATAGGATTACCTTGATTCGTTCAACGAACCACATTATCCTCAATCTCACTATCTTGACAACAAATGATACTAAAATATTCTTTCACAATCCCTCTATGTTTTAAAGAAGGATAATAATTTGAAGGGAGAAAAAATAAAGCTTAAGCTTGGATAACCATGCTCCCCCACAATCCTCATATTTCTTTACAAAAAACTATTTAAGAAGTACATGGTTACATGCCATAGAGAGAAACAATATGTCATCCCTCTCTATGCATGAATAAAATATTTGGGATCTATAATTTGTAAATGAAAAGAATGTTTCCAGTTGTTCCTTCCACATTCCCCTCCTCTTCTTAGAAACCACCATAAACGACGAAAGAAAGAAAAGGAAAGAAGAAAATTGACTGCATTTTCATTCTCTTACATTTTAATCTTCTATGTTTGTTTCCGATAGAGCACAGGATACAAAACCTTGACACATTCAAACATCCAAAATTTCCTTGGAACAATCCTTTTGCTTAAAATTTTCAATTCATTATCTTAGATTCTTACACCGAAATATGTTTGAAGTGTATGCATAGTGTAGCCTGAGATAGGTCAGAGGATCAAAGACTCACCATGAGCTATTTCAAGGTTTTTTGTCCAGTAAAGCCTGACCATGCTGCTCTTTTTTGTCATGGAATCACCTGTTCCTATCTAGCTCAATCACATAGTCACACCACTAACTATTATAGCATTCAATATGGATTCTGGTTTGCAATTAATGCAGTGTGGAACATTCTCTTCATGTTAGACGTACTTGAAATAATTCGTAGGTTATTAATTTACTATGATGCATAAGTCTACTCTGTAGGTATTAGACAGATGTCTATTGTGGGTTAGTTAATTAAGCGGTCCCATATGAATTAATCCCAAGAATTGAATTTTGATTTTTGGAGTTTTAAACGAGTCAAAGAATAACTAAATTCGACATGGAATATCGAGATCTTGTTTTGTCTCTATCAAATAATACTAATATCTTATATGAAAGTTAATAAAATGGAAAATCAATTAAAAAAATGAATGATGAAGAATGGGCCTTATATACCTTATATTGTGTTGAACAAAAAGGGTCTTATATACTTCTTACTGTTATCCTCTCTATCTCTTTTTTCCTTTTTTTCATCTTTAAGCAAACTCAGAGAGCAACCCATCATTTTTCTTTACAACCTACATTCCTCCACTTAACTTGCTCCAATTCCTTATCCTTGTGTGCTTCTAACTTCATCGGCAACTTGGACTAATAAACAGGTAAATTTATCTAGGTGCACGCCAATTAAAGGGTCCTATCTAAACTTCAAGTCTTTTTGCCATAAATCGATGCACAATAATCTAAAAAATATAACACCACCACCATCATCATAAACTATGACAGCAACAAAGCCTTTATCGGGTTGGCTACGTTAATTCTTTTCTTTCACTCAGTTCCACATGAGCCATTTTCTCCACTAACTATAATCATATCTTCAGGTCAAGTTCTATTAGGCGTACCTCTAATCATCTTTGTCCAATTAACTATAACCTTTATCACTTCTCCTAATTTGTGCAATTTTTGGCCTCCCCTGTACACTAGCGAACCAGCTCAATCGATTCTCTCTAGTTTATTTGTTATCCTACGTATATCCACGAGACTGCCATAACAAATATAGCAACATCACTAATAGCATCAATCACTAACCCTAATCAGCATGAACCTTGCAAGACCCACCATACTATCAATCTACTCTCGTACCATCACATAAAGTTCTCACCTTTCAAGAATTAAACTTCGCAATTCTCAAATTAATCATAAACCCATAATAAAAGATGTCACCTTTTGCTCATTTTTGGCAACGCCATACCCACTCTGATACATCTGGCCCACCAAAACCTGCATCGACTGATCGCCATTCCTCGCCTCCTTCAACGTATCCTGGAACCACCTCCTCACGCACTCAGACACCACATCGCCGAGCGGCACGCGCGCATCTCGACGCTCGTCGTCTTCCATCGATCTAGCCGGCGGTTTTGGGATCGAACTCGACCTCTGCTTGGTTCGATCGATTTCTAGGGTTTTAGATTGGGGTTTGGGGAGCTTTGAAGGTTTGATTCGTTCAGAGGCGAGGCGGGCGTAGGCTTCGATCTTGGCAGTGGAGGGCAGGCGTTTGCCCATAAAAGGGAAGGGGAGAGGTGCGGAGAGAGCAATTTTTGGGACTTTTGAGGGGGTTACTTGAAACTTTTGATTATTGAATTAGAATTTGAGTCTTTTTTTTTTTGGAAGGAAGAACGTAATAGAGGCGGCTTTGTTAGACCCGAAGGAGAAGAGGAGGCCGAGTTCTTGATAAGTATTAATAATTTGATTAACACTAAAAATTAAAAGATGGCATTTCTTATGTAAATTTACATCAAAACTAGCAAGCAGTACGTGCGTTGCACGTGATGCATACTAGGAAACCCAATGAAATAAAACATTTGAAAGACAACTAATATTGCATACGTCAATCTTGTTATTTTTTTATGAGAAACACACTTCACACGGTGCAGAGGCTAACTACACAGCATTAGTACAAACAGCTTATTAATTTACACAAGAATACCAAAGATCAACATGACTTTCACCATAATCTTCACTAAAAACAAAAAAAGCTAACAAACTCAACAAATAATGCAACTTGAACAAAAAGATAAAAACTCAACAACCCAATCTCTTAACTGAACAATTGAAGTTTGTAAGCTACTTAAAATTTTGCTTTTTTCCCCTTCTTTTTTACAGTTTTTGCTGGCAAAGGAAATGTAACTAAATATCTTAGACATATTGATACTTTAAATAATTTTTCACTCCTCATATTTTATCTTAATCTTTTTATCTTTCATCTCCTTATTTTCTTTTATTCATAGCCTTTTTAGGCTTGTCATACTCTTCACTTTAGTGCTATGTATCTCGTTGTAATCATCATCTTCATCACATTTTATTGGTTTGAAATTTTCTTACGAGAATTAGACCTAGGATTAACTCAGGTTAATAATAGGATATTAATAGTATTATATCCGCACCATGTTGCTAGAATCTTCTCCTTTCATATTTTTTGATAATAAAAATAAACTCTTTTATTACAGACTATAGATGAAAGCACTCAAACATGATTAAACAAGTATACAATAAAATGAACAATTAAATAACTATATACAAATGTGATTCATATACTTATTCGATTGTCGTCGTATCAATACGAAACTACTGTTACATCCTTGGGCTGCGAATGGGTTTCTTGTTTGAGTTGTACAATCCATACAAAGAAGGACAAAAAAATTAGTTCAAGATTGATCTCAAAACAATATTATTTGAGAATACATTTGCAAAGCTAGGAAAAAGTTTTTTAAATTTGTTATGGGGTACAACTGTTTCCAAATATATGATCTGATGAGTCGCCATCTCCATCCAGCCAGACAAGCCGACACCCTAGTGTCGACACGAGAAGCGGTGCTAATCGGCACGAGACATCCTGACCTCCCAAACGAGTCGACATCTCGACCGACGGGAGAGATAGCTAGAGATCAGCTAGCAGTTCGACTCAGCCGATCAGACGACTTGACATTCATCAATGTCCACGCGAAAGACGGTTTCAGTCGGCCCTCTCACAGCAGGCAACTTGTCAAGAGCCTAGTCGACCCAGTCGAGTCGATACTCCTCTATGTCGACTCTAAAGGCGGGACGAGTCGTCACCCGACTCTATTCAGCCAGCAATCCTTGAGTCGTCACTCCTCTCAATAAGTCGACTCTCCTCGCGAGTCCCATCATGAGGGACATTGCTTCTCAGCAAAACTAGAAGATAACTTTGCCAAAGCTTATCCATCCTAACAACAAGTCACGTCATGTCTATTCAAAGACCACGCGTCATCACGCCACTTATCAGCCCACGTCTCATCGATTGCTCCTCAAATCGAGGCCGAAGTGATCTTCCTCCTGTCTCCAACCGACACATGTAGAGCAAAGGATGATTTACCTTCCAGCTCACACTTTGTCACCACCATTTGTATGGCCGAAGTGACCAATCTGCCATTGTCATCCTCTTTATATACAAATGCTATTCGCCATAGCCAAGGGTTCATAATCTAAACTTTTCTCTGTAGGCGTCTAAAAATGCCTATAGGTATCCACACACAGCTCGAGACAGAGAGAAGGTGATGAACGCCATTATCTAAGTCTAAGAGGATTATCCGACTGGCCCGTGCACTCGTCGGCAAGCTCCAAGTGGCCCGCGTACTCACCGGCCACCACCAAGTGGCCTGCACGCTCATCGGCCACCAAATCGGTGAACTAAGTGGCCTGCACGCCCGTCGGCCACCGTCAAGATGTCCATGCATTCACAAAATGAATCGGGGAAGCGTACAAGTCAACGAAATGACGAAATACGCGTAACGACGGAACAAGTCAAAACCCGAAAAACAGATAAAGCCCCTGGCGGCTGAGTCGCACCAAAGCGACCCGGCCAGACCAGTGGCTCAGCCACCAGGTGACTGTTTGGCCAAAATTCGGTTTTTTCGGTTCTTTGACGGATTCTTTCGGGATTTGAGTGTTCCTGAGCGTTCCAACTGATCTGATATTGTGGTTGTACAGTTGTTGACTGAAGATACAGAGAAATCCATCAGTCTCATCCAAATAACCGCATCCGAGGCCTATAAATATGAGCCAAAGGCCTCCATTTTAGAGGAGGACATCAAGAGGGCGAAGTGCTGTCGAATTGGAGAGTGGAGCCACAAATTTCAGAGGTTAGCAGATCTTGGCGAACTACTATGCATAAAGAGTAGAGTTCGAGAGATTTGAGACTCGTCCCCTATTCCTCCGGATTTAAGCTTGGTCTTAAATCCCAAGAAGAGCCGTGATCTCGCTTGGTTGAGATCATCGCTGTAGCGATTACTTCCTTCGTGAAGTAAGAGCTTTGATTCTATAATCTGTCAACCGGATCTGATCCGCGGCAGTCCACGGATATTAACGTCCCCGGCACAGGCAAAGATCCCACGTAAGAAGCGGGTGATAAACGTCTGTTGCGCTGTTTGATAAGAGTTGTAATCTTTATTTTCATTGTATAAATGAGATCTTATAAAAAGATCGACTTTCTTTCTTTTTTGAACTTATTGTAATGGCTGAAATTGTAATGAGTTTCGACTTTCTTTCTTTTTTGAACTTATTGTAATGGCTGAAATTGTAATGAGTTCGTCACCAATGAAAATCTCAACTTTTGAACTTATTGTAATGGCTGAAATTGTAATGAGTTCGTCACCAATGAAAATCTCAACTTTTGACCCAAACAAGCTGGCGACCACAGTGAGAGCCAACAGCTTCGCTGTTGGAGCTGTCATGCCGTAACCAAGGATCAGATCCCGGTTGAAGAAGTGGTCGAGTACGAATTCGACCAACTAAAGTTCGAGGAGTATCCGTCGTCATCCTCCTCCAGATCCTCTGACCTTCGCAAGCGCAGGAAGATCAAGGCCCGCGTTGCCGTTAAAATCTCGCCTTGCAAAGCCCCTCCGACCTCCAACGAGTCCAAATCTACAGATCTGGACCCTACCTCCATCAAGGAGTCTATTGCAGAAGGCACGCTAACCTTATCAAAGAGGGCACGCCAAAGACAGCGCCAACGACTTGCACGCCGACTTGCTAAGGCTTTGGAGCCTGTTGATGGGATTTGCTATGAGGCGGGTCTGAAATGCAAAAAAGAACCAAGTTCCCCAGCGACAAACAGATGCCCTCTCCTCCAAACCAACAGCGAATGAATGGATCCAAGTTAAACGGACCCGCTCAACCCTCGAGGAACGCATTCAGAAGCGCCGTGCCTTGATTGCGCGCGCACGGATCCTCATGCACGAAGCGCAAAAGTTAAAGCAGGAAGAGGTGACCAAGAAGCCACCAAAACTATGCCAAGTATGGAAACCAAAGTCCGAAACGGCGTCGCAAAAAAATCGAACACCGCCCGAAACTCGCGAACCAGCCTTTGCTGGCTTGGCCAAAACCGAGCCACCAAATGGTGGCTCAGCCAGAACCGAGCCACCAAATGGCGACTCGGCTGCGTACGGTTCACCTCTCGCGAACTGTTTTGAGTTTCCGACGGCCCCTATTCCTGTCCCGACGGATCCCGCACTTCCGGTGAAGCCTCACGACCACGGAGACTTGTCCCGTTTCAAGATGGGGATGACGGATCGTCTGGGTCCTTTGCATGAGGATCGAGGCAAAGTTCCGATCAAAGAACGCTTGGGTCCGGTGACTGAACCCCGAGCAACCACTCGAGCTGGGGGTCGTACACACCCTCGCGACAAGCCAGAGCCTTCCTATAATGGGAAAACCCCTGCACTTGACCGCCTCGGATGATGAATTGAAGTCTAAGAGCCCGTCAAGAGTTCGCGCTCCCAAAAGCACAGCTCTAAACGCGTGACTCTTGAGGACGCCAACAAGGTATCGAGTCCTAGGAAGGAAACGTATTCGTCAGACGATGATGTTATACCTGATGAGTCATGCCAACACACGATAGGTTACTCCGGTCTTCAGACCGACGAGTTGTACTATCGGGCTGGGGGTACGAACAGATCTCGAAAGAGAAGTACCCGAGAAACGGACTCTCATTGTCCGTGCACAAATATTATCAGGGTAGTATTATCAACGTGTAGCTGCCCCAAGACCGCTCCGTAGAGGGTCTCGGTATTCGAGAGGATCTCTAATGGAATGGCCAAGTCCAGACCAAAGCGTCTCCGTAAAAAGCGATCGGCTGTTCAAGGTGACGAACTCCTGGAAGCCACAATAAATATGACTGATAAGGGAAAGTCGATTCGACCTTATAGCTCTGACCCGCTTATATCTCATCGTCTAACCCGGTTGCGATTAGGAACTATTAGACAAAGAGATTATCAGAGAATGTAGAGGGGATTATCCTTGGATGATGAAGCATCGGATGCTAACTCGGCAATCGCTTCTGATAATATGGTATCCAGTCCGGGACAATCCCACGAGGCATTCATGATCAACACCGAGCAAATCATCAAAATTCTCGAGGATGCTCTAACCAAGCAGAAAGAAGCATTCAAGATTGAAATAGAAATGACTATGCTACGGATGAAGGAAGAGCATGACCAACAAATTCGGGCTCTGTCCAATCAGTTCGGTGAATCCAGTCGTTGCAACCGTACTGATCAAGCAGGCAGCGATTCAGATGTGGATGAACGTCTCAATGCTGAGAACCCTCCCGTTGACCAGAACACTGGGGGTGTTCCCGCTGAAAATAATAACAACGGGGGTGGTTCCGTCAATGATGACAACACTGGGGGTGGCCCCGTT